TATAATATACAACCCATGTTTAATTATAAAAAAAAATCATATTTGTTTAATTAATTTAGGTGTTCTTATGTTTTATAATTGACGTAGGTTCGAATCCTCATTTGAATGATTTTATTTATTTGTTTTTCTATTATTAATATTAGTACGAGATAAATAGAGTTTGTTACAATACTTAACCAAATGAAGCGTTTGGCCTCGTGACTTAGGTGTCCCGCCTCTAACCAAAAGTCTCATATATCATTATCATATGTTGACACTTGTCACCTATTGATTGAATGATTAATTTATTAAATTAAATTAAAATTAGGATCAAATTTATTGAATGTATAAGTATAGAGGATCAAATATGTAATTATACCATTTTTGTTAATTGTCACGTAAACACTTATGTTATATGTTAACGACATGTGGCGATATTGAAACCAATTAAATAATTAAGTGATTATATTGACAAAATTTTGAAAATGATAGTCATATCGACATCAACCCCACAGTTAGGTGGTAATTCAAGTAGTTTACCCTAAGGGGGCGTTTGGATTATGGAAATCTTGTTTACCTGTAGTATTTTTCTTTTCCCGGGCTGTTATACCCACGTTTCGATTAGAATGATTCCCACTTGAATGTATTATTTCATTGCCAACATTAATTTTTTTGACCTTTTTACTGGGAATGTCATTCCCACATATTACATAGGTTTTATTTTATTCCCGGGCATTTGGGCTAAAATATCATTTCTTCTCATCTTCTCCCTGACCTCGCTTCTGTCTAATTTCCTTTTCTGAGAATTTTTCCTGGTAAGATTTCTCCTCCACTCATTTTTTTTTAATTTCCCAGTAATGTTACTTTGCTTTTGATTTTGATTATTTTCCTTTGCTTTTAATTTTTCCTTTGATTTTGATTCTTTTCCTTTGCTTTCAATTTTTCCTTTGCTTTTGATTCTTTTCCTAATAGTCTAATTTCAACAACTTCTCCTGAATTCGACCTCCATGTTTTTTATTTGAGCTTACTGGTAGTCTAGGATTCTTTTTCCTTTTCTGCGCAAATAATCCAAGTAATCAATTGTTCAAGTTACGGGACTGTAAATCTTTTACATTGAAGTTGGGTCTAACTTGAACCGTCTATGCAATTGCGAGTAATCCGTTGTTTGTTTCCAGTTTTGTTCGTCTTATGTGCATCCTGGAGTATTCGTTCGTGGTGTTGTTTCTGTCGTCTGTTGCTATGTTTAGATATTTTGGTATACCTGGGTAGCCTGGAGTAGTTTCTATGCTCTAGGTTTTTTGCTTTGGTCCTTTTACGAGTATGTTGGTAGATTGGCCAATGAGGGGGCTGGTTTATTCCGGCCATTCTGCTTACTTTCTATGCTTTTTCATTAATCTGTTGTGCTCTTCAGTTTTTTGAGCTTTTGTCATCTTTTTCGATTAGCTTCAATTAGAGAGTATCTCTTGTCTCAGTTCGTGTCTTTACTCAAGCTTTGGTTGCTGCTGATATTAAGTTAGAGGTGTTGGTTCGCTTTCTTGTTGTTGCTGTTTGTGTTTGAACCACTTTCAGTTTCTATTTCTTTAATGGCGTGTCCAGTTTTGGTTTATTATTGTGTTGCCGGGGGAGTGTTAGGATCGGCGGTGTGTTTATGTATGGTATGTTGTGATGTAAGTTTTTGTGTTTGTTCATCTCTACCACCACAGAAATTTAGTTTATATGCTTCAATGTAATTACTTAACAGAAATAGGTTCTTTTTCTGAACTTCTACGGTAGAATATGATGGAATCTGAAGGTAAAACATGCCATTTTCTAATTCAAATTTGAGGTTGCAAGTTCTTACATATGTTTAGGATGCTAAAGTATTGTTAGCAAACGATTTTGTTGATCTGTCAAGAAGTACTGGCAGACTCTAGACTACATATCCACAAATTCGCTTTGTACATGGATAAGTAAGAGAACCTTAGGAAATCCAGCAGCTCATTTTGCAACGTATAATTCTTTATATAATTCTAAAACCTACTTTTAGACACTACATCGTATAGAGTTGTGCAAATCTGGATTTCTATTTTTTCTTGTCTCCAGTCTAACCATTGGATTAGATTGCAATCATTTACTCATAGGCTCTAGATTTTGGCATCCTTAAAAATACACTGCTCATGTACTTCTATAAGTACGAAGTTAATTTATGTAAAATGAACATGTGATTTTATTAAGATGATATACTAACCTTTGAAGCAAAGATACATATATGGAGAACTAAAATAATTGGTGTGGAAATCACTACTGGTGCTTTTTGCCATGATTAAACAAACTCTTAAAATACATCTTACCACTAACCCAAAATTTCAAAAAGAAAATAATGAAAAGGAATTCTGAAGCTATCCCATCACTACCTCACTTGTTTTATTTATTTTTAAATTGTGATAGGCTCTAAATATAATTTAAATTGACGTATCAAAAAACTTGTAGTTTAGGATGCTTAAGTATTGTTAACAAACGATTTTGTTGATATGTCAAGAAGTACTGGCAGACTCTAGACTATATATCCACAAGTTCGCTTTGTACATGAATAAGTAAGAAGAACCTTAGGAAATCCAACAGCTCATTTTGCAACGTATAATTCTTTATATAATTCTAAAACCTACTTTTAGACACTACATCGTATAGTGTTATGCAAATCTGGATTTCTATGTTTTCTTGTCTCCAGTCTAACCATTGGATTAGATTGCAAGCATTTACTCATAAGCTCTAGATTTTGTATCATTCAATTCAAATAGGGTTGTTCAAATCTGGATTTCTATATTTTCTTGTCTCAGTCTTAAATGTTCAAATATACTATTGCCCAAAAATTTTCTAGATTTTGCCCGAAAATGGTTAATAGGGTTATTTTTAAGGGTGAAACAGGTTGAGGTTTAAAAGCAAACAAATAAATGTGTGGCTACCTACTTGTTTTACAGTAACTTGCTGAACTGTATTGACATAGTTGCTTTTCTATCATCATTTTATTATAGTGCCATTTTTATTGTGTTCAATTATTTTTATTGTGATGACAAACAATTGTTCTTGTTAAATATTATTATTTTCTAATATTAAAATGTTTGTTCATAATAACAGTTATGGCTCGTTTACCAATGCGAAAGAAGACGCATATCGCCACAATTCTTATTTTACAACTACAAATAATGGAGATTGTGTGTCATATGCTTATGATTATTTCAGTTATTCTTAGAAAATATAAAAATCGACCTAAAATAACTTATGCACATGAAAGACTTCATAGACATAATATTAGATCACTTAATTTACATAAGATTGTATTTGAAAGTGATCGACAAAGTGCTGATAATTGTCGAATGGATAGGAGAGCATTTATCAAATTGTGTCACCTATTACAAAGTCAATGTGGGTTAAAAGAGAGTCGATATATGTCTATAGAAGAAATGGTTATTATTTTCCTTCATATTATATCCCACCATATTAAGATTAGAGTTTTAAAACGTCAAACAGTAAGATCTGGTGAAACAATTAGTAGAGTTCTCCATGCAGTGTTAGCTTCAGTCTTGAAACTACATCCGATCCTTTTTAGAAAACCAGAACCGATACAAGATAATTCAACAGACGATAGATGGAAATGGTTTAAGGTATTGTATCATAATTCTGAACTTTCTTTTAAGTTAATTAGTAATGCTACTTAAATGGATAGTAATAATGAAATTTAACTTTATTTGATGAATATAGGGATGTTTGGGTGCTCTAGATGGAACGTATATTAAGGTCAATATAGCTGTAATCGATAAACCTAGATACAGAACAAGAAAAAATGAAATTGCGACAAATGTACTTGGTGTTTGCACACCAAACATGCAATTCATTTATGTTTTACCTGGGTGGGAAGGTTCTGCAGCTGATGGTAGAATACTCAGAGATGCCATTAGTAGAAGAAATGGTTTAAATGTTCCACAAGGTAAATTATTAGGTCATTAATATATATATATATAAGAATGTAAAATTCTTACAAGTTTTGTATATTAATTTATTTTTTAAATTAAAATAATATAGGGTGTTACTACTTATATGATGCTGGATACACGAATGGAGATGGATTTCTTGCACCATATAGAGGTCAAGATACCACTTGAATGATTGGAGAGAATGACACCAACCTACCACCCCTCAAGAATATTTCAACATGAAACATTCTCAAGCTAGAAATTGCATTGAGAGATGCTTTGGCATATTGAAAGCGAGATGGGCAATTTTAGGGAAAAATCATTTTATCTAGTGAAAACACAATGTAGACTCATTTCAGCTTGTTGTCTTCTCCATAATTTCATAAGATCTGAGATGCCAATCGATCCTATTGAATCTGACTGTACTGAAGATAGTAGGCATGTTGAAGAGATTAATGAAGTAGAAATGATTAGACATTGTGAGCCAAGTAGTGCTTGGACTGAGTGGAGAGACAAATTAGCAGAAGATATGTTTACTAGTTGGTTGGCGTCACGTACTTTAGGATAGATGTTATTTTATGTTATGTATGACTTACACCTTCTATTTTATCTAATGTTAGTGGTCATTACTTTCATGTATTTGACATCTTTATATTTTATGGCATAAACTTTATTAAATTTTATGTATTTCTCTTATATAAAATTTGAATTTTATTTGTTATGGACATTCATTACTTATGTCATTCACTACATTTGATTTATATTATGTTACTATTTTAAATTTCTTTTATGATTAGTATTGACAATGATGACATGTTTTATGTTATGTTATACATTTTTTATATACATCTTCTTAGATTGTTTCGAAGAGAAATATGTCGACATCAAATATCTCAAAGGGGGGGAAAACCGCCGACATCTAGAAAGATTAAGTCTTTAGTAACTAAAAGGACATGGACTAAAGAGGAGGATGTTGCACTTGTTGAATGTTTACACATTTTGGCTGAAGACCCACATTGGAAAGCTGATAATTGAACATTTAGATCAGATTATCTATCTAATCTTGAAAAGATGTTAGAAATCAAGCTTCCAACATCACAAATTAGGGCCCATCCACATATTGAATCTAGAGTGAAGCTACTCAAAAGACAATACAATGCTTTATCTGAAATGCTGAATATTGGAAGTGGATTCGGTTGGAATGAAGAAGAAAAATGTTTAACTGCACCAAATGACGTGTTTGATGATTGGGTTAGAGTAAGTATTTTAATTGAATTTATCTTCTTTTTATACTCTTTGTTATCTACTTAGCTTTGTAAGATTTATTAAATTTGCGATTTTATTATATTGTAGAGTCATCCAACTGCTGTTGGATTAAGAAACAAGTCATTTTCATTCTTTGATGACTTTGTTCATATATTTGGAAAAGAAAGAGCTACAGGAATAGCAGCGGAGACAGCAGCTGATGCAGTGGAACATATTGATGTTGAAGACAATGCATTTATAGATGCATTACTTGAAGAAAAGGGAGTAAGAGATTCTGAATCAAGAGAGGATGTTGGTGCTTCAACTTGCCAAACATCTGATGCTACTGCCTCTACCCCTACAATGAAAAAAGTAGCTAGCAAGAAAAGGTCTCGAAGTGATGATGGGTTAACCGAGCTTGTACAAGAGATAAGTAAGTTCGGTGCTGCATACCGAGAAACTGCCAAAGAAATTAAGGATATTACTGCTTTATTGAAAAAGGAGGCAGAAGGAAATGATCAAAGAATGTCGATTTTCACTGAAATCATGAAAATTGAAGGACTTTCCACTGATGAAATGCTTACTGCAGGAGAGTATATGAGCAAAGATGCGCACAAGGTAGATTTCTTATTTTCTTTGCCGAAAGAATTCAAGAAAGATTATGTGATTAAGCAATTGGTTGAATGCCGTCAATTTAGGACTGTCGTCCTTCTACAATTATGTCGATCTCTTTTTGATTATGACTTTAGAATATGGTCCCAACTTTTTTGTGTAGCTTAGCCAAGTATATGTCAATCTTTTGACTTGAAGAATTTTGTGTGTATATAATATAACCAACATATATGATTACGTTTATGTCACATGTATTATCAGTTTATGTCAATATCAAGTTAAATAAATTTATTTTAACAAACCAAGAATCAAGTGAACAAAAACTCATATCTTCATGTGGGATTAGGATTATGAACTTTCATTACACTGTATTTGTCATCTTGTTCAACCGAATAAATTAATGTGAACACTTTTATGGATTACACAGTCATCCAAGAAGATTTTAATGAATTAGCTAGCTATATTTTGTAATGTGGTTCTCGTTATAATAAAATAAAAACTGATAATCATAATTCCTCAAAATAAAGATACAGAGTTTGAATTTTAATTTACATTTGTATTCTTACTCAAGTATTATCTCATTTGTTACATAACAAAAACTCATTTTAATATATTTTTTACATAAATTATGTAAAATTTAATATTAATTAAAATTAAAATAATACCTTATATATTTAAATACTCAAGTAATATATTATCAAAAAAATAAAATTTATATATATATAATTTTTATTTAAATATTTAGAATTTCACTTTAAAAAAACAAATATAGAAGAAGGACAATTTGGTAAAATATACATTCCAATAATCTTTTATTCTTTCAACCAAACACTGTAATCTTACATTCCTGCCAAACTAACCAAACACAGTAATGTAACATTCCCAGTAATCATATTCCCTGGTAATCTTTTATTCCCACTGGTAATCTTACATTCCGTGAACCAAACGTACCCTTGTGTTTGGTTTGTTTGGCAGGAATGTATGATTACAGTGTTTGGTTGAAGGAATATGAGATTACTGGAATGTATATTTTACCAAATTGTCCTTGTGCTATATGTGTTAACAAGTGGAATTCTAAATATTTAAATTAAAATATTCATATAAAAAAGCATAAAAATATATTACTTTATTATTTTAAATTTATATACTTTTTAATAAAATTTATATATAATTTTTTTATAAAATTTAAAAGATAAATGGGTAGAATAAAAGAGTAAATAAATAATGTATTATTTAAATTATAAATAATATTTTTTTACATTAATTATCTAAAAATATATATTAAAATTTTACATCATGATTTAATTAAATAAGCATATGAAAAAATTAATAGATGAACCATTTTACTCCTAAAGATAACAAAAGCTAACTTTTATAATTTAAATATTTTTTAAAATCAGAACAAAAGCTGAAATTTATATTTATTCATTCAATAATTTAAGCATTTTATTTTGAAGTTCTTGATTGAGGTTGTTATCATTATTCTCTCATAGAGTGGTCTTAATTGTTGTTTAAAATTTGCCCTGGTTTGTGGTGTCGTAGAGTGGATTTGGAATTCCCGAAGATTGAAGTTCGATTCGAAAATCTGACTGTTGAGTCTTTTGTCCATGTTTGGAGTAGAGCATTAGCAACCATTCCCAATGTTAAAATCTCAAAGTGGACAAACCTATCTAATAGAAATTATCGTGAACGTAACTTTGGTTACCTTTTTCCTTTTTGCTTATTTATATTACACATTTTGGTATTAAAACCATCATATATTAAATATATAAAAAATGAAATTTTAATATAAGAAATCTTAAAGTCAAAACCTCTATCCTAAACTATTTGTATGTCAAACATTGGTGGTAAAATATGGAAACCAGCAAGTACATAATTTACAAAAGACACTTGAGATATTTTTTATACATTCCATAGTAAAACCATGTTTTTGCTCATATTAAAAGAACAATAGAGGAAAAAATTAAAAATCTAAACCAATGGATCCATGAAAAATATAATACATACTTACATGTAGAAAGTGTTGAAGTCATTATAGCCATCCCTATAACAAATAATCATGTCAACAACCATGCCACATATTACAACTGTAAAAGAATCAATAAAGAGCCAGAAAGTTCTAGAAATCATAAGCTAGACATAATAGGTCAAATTACTGACCAGAAGTCATGACTATAATGTAAAAGACTGAGTACGTCATCAAACATTGCTTACATATAATATTGTCAAAGGAAAATGTGATTTCAGATTATTATAAAGTCAACTAGAAAAATATGCAACACATAATGACTACCTAAAATGAAAAGTAGTACATGCAGTGCGTATGTAACTCTTATATGGCATGCATCACCAGGTATAAAGCATTAAAATGAAGACTGTCAAAGTCAAGATAGAGGGATACTATATCTTCAATTGGTAGAAAAGCTTAAAATCATCTAAGTCTGATTCAGTACAAACTGTATTTGAGAAGTTACGGATGATAAAACAAACAGCATCCGAAAGCAAAATTCAATAAAGGTTGCGTTACCATGATAACTTTTGGAACCACAAGTCTCTGAAATACTGATGAAAATATGTATAAACATTCATCATCACGATTGCAAGGCATAAGAAGAAAATCAGCAACTGTACAAACTAGTTTAATAGGACAAAAACATGTGGTTATGTAAGGGTTTTGATAGAGATTATAATTTGTCAAAAGATCAACGATATTAAATCTATTGGGAAAGTAGATGATTCACAAGAAAACCATTAATAAAGTGCCACATACTTTTTATAATGAGGGGCATCCCTATCCAAATGAGCAAGAGTTCCATCCAATATGGAAACCTACAATTTTTTTATTCAAACCATAACAATAACAGTTAGTTATGGTTTTATGTTCTATAGAAGCATTACATCAAAGCCATTATTTTTCTCAAAAGGCAACTTAAGGACTCCTTTTACTTAAATGATTTTTTACAATCCTAGTAAATGGAATTAAACATAAAACTAAACATCAGTGCATAATGTTAACAAAATAAAAGTGTTAAATTAACAAAAGTATAGCAAAGACTAATAATATGATTCAACTACCTTTTATCCACTATTATTACCAACAACCTTGATTTCTAAGCCAACACAAGAAGCCTATGGGGCAAGTGGAATCTCCTCATAGTCTAAAAATTGAATTGCATCAGGATCGTAACGAAAGAAGCCAAAATCATGAACCTAATAAAAAACACAGTGTGTAACACCCTCAACCTGTATCCGACCCGGATACAAGTATGAGGTGTCACATTGACTTTTCAAACTTTTAACTTTTAACGAAAACCAATGAAATTTAAAACTTTGATTAAAATAACATTGTCATTGTACACGAGTTAACCAAAACAAGACAAAACTAATCAGAGCATTTGTAACTAACACTTTTCTTACATGCCAACACACTACATACAACAAAATACCTACTATGACTTTCCTTCTGATCTGATCGCTGAGTGGAGATATATTGATCTGCAAATTCCTATTCTTGATTCTCATGCTCTTCCAAACCTACGTGTAAAAACACTTACACTCTAAGTCATAGACTTAGTGAGGCATAATTACATAATAAAGAAATACTAAAAATATAAACATGTCGTCTACTATCCAAACGCAATTATACTATCATACTATCATTTATTATACCACATATGAGACAATATAAATCATAATAATACCATATTAAGATATAATTATATACATCCTCGTTATATCCTATTTAAGCCCATATACACTATTGAGAACCCAAGGTATACGAGTATTATGAGGTTGTGCACACGTATGTTGTCACCACAGCTCAATGAATGTTTCGAATGACCTATCCAGAGGTCATAAAGATCCTCGGTAACTATCCAGAGGTCATAAAGATCCTCGGTAACTATTCAGAGGTCATAAAGATCCTTGGTAACTATCCAGAGGTCATAAAGATCCTCGGTAACTGTCCATAGGTCCCGAAAAACCTAGGTAAACTATCCATATGTTCCTTAGAACATAGGTATACTATCCATATATCTTGAAAGACATAGGTAATTCTTTGACTCTTGGCATGCTAACTATACCTACAGTTCTCATAACTCATATCATGGGCATTGTCTTTTACCTTATTACATATTCACACATCATATCACATTTTTCTTTTCCTATAGCTCTTTATCACATGTTCATATGATCATCTTATCACCTATACCTTTTCATATAACCATTACATACATACATACATACATGTCATCATTTATGTTTTTATCATACTCATATAGTATTATCCTTCATCTCTTTTATCTCTTGTTCATTTTTCATCCAATAACTTATATAAATGTATATATATCACGTATAATAGTTCCTAGGTCCCATCACACTAGCATATTTTCATATATTTGTAATCACGTAGTTTATTTTTCATATAATTCATGTCACCCCTCATATGATTTCATATTCATATGCTATATATTTCATATTCTTTCTTATGTCCTTTCCATACTTCTTATTTCATATTCTTATGAAATCATATTGATCATTTTAACTATTTCACATATTTAACACATATATCTACCTATTTACACAACTCATATGATATATATATATATATATATATTGTAACATGTCAATACATATGCTCATTCATACATATAAACCATAAAAAACATCACACACACTTCATATACCTAATATAGATATCTCGTAACTCATTCAATCCCATATGACACATATATTCGTACATAAGCTCTAATCTGAAAAATAGACTTACCACAATCTGCATAGTATATCCCATAAAGCATATGGTATGAATTCATATCATCTTTAATAATATTGAATGAATCATGTATCAAGATATTAAATATAGACTTATCGCAAGTCTAGAACTGAATATACTAACATAATCATGTTATGCATATGCACTCACCTTAGCCTTGTTTGAATTGAATCAATTCTAACCATTCGATTACTTTGAAGCAAAGTCACGTTCAATATCTACATAATAATACATTAATACATATCAATATCCAATTAATATACTCTAATCTATCATTTCTTAGACCAAAAGAAAGGTTTATTTCTATCTCTCTTGAAGCGCATCGATGCATTCAACAGTGCATCGATGCATTCTTTAGCATGTGCATCGATGCAGTACCCGTGCATCGATGCACAAATCACCTTCGATGTTTTCATTTTAAGGGGATGCATCGATGCACTCCTTATGCAGCGATGCACCAATTACATTCGATGTTTCCATTTTAATAGGTGTATCGATGCACATAGCTCAGAATTCATTTTAAATCCCGAAAATCTACTCAAAACAACTCAAATGCTTCATATTTCATCCCCTTTCATGTTCTTAACTCTCATACACTTATTTAAACTAATTAATACCCATTCAATATCTCTTACACTTCAAAATCCATTCCTCCACATAGAATTTAAGAATTTCACTCAAATTCCCATATGATATAATTCTGATTCTAACCCTTCATATCCTTTAATCAAGTTCGGGACAAGTCAAATTCAACTTCCAATTCTCAATATAAACTTTATTTCGATATTTCATTCAAAAACTCCAAATCTTTAAATCCTCATAAACTCTTCATCTTGTTGTTTTAAAGCAAATTAATCTTTCCTTAATCTTACTTAGCATCTAATAATCAAAACTAAACTTAAATTTCAGCACATAATCAGCTCAAGAGAAAACTCACCTTTGTTTGGCTTCACACATGAAGAAGAAAAATAAAAAAGAAGAGAACTCTGGAAACCTCTAAACTTTGTTTCCTTCCTTCCACGTGTATCTATATATACCATATATTATTATTATATTTTTCTTTTCTTTGCAAATGACAATACTATCCTTTTATTCCTCATTCTTTTCAATTTGATCTTACACCTCATTTCTCATATAAGTCTTTAAACCACTTAATTATTCTAATTTAAATCACCAAATTTTGAAACCTTACAATTTAGTCACTAACCCGGTATTTAGGATGTTACAAATCTCCACTCCTTTTAAGAAAATTCGTCCTCGAATTTTCATTACACATACCGATAAGAACATATCTTTCAATGTTCTCATGCTCCTTTCTCTACTTTATCCCATTGCAATTTGTAATCAATGATTTGCTTTCACTTCCCAAAGAACCCAATCCATTTCTAATTACCTTATAACCATACCCAATCTCTTATTCCATTATTCTATAACTCAGAACACAACCCTAAACCTCTTCAAATGTTATTAAACGTATACTTTACGAAATCAATCAATCTTTTCATAATAATATCTACCATTTCTATACCCCATATCAACTTCTAATTCACACTTTACACCCCTTTTTCATTTAATTCCCTATATATATTCCTTTATAAATCACTATCTCCTTACTTATCCCTTGAAGAATATCTCCATTAGATTAACAGAGAATTAAATTCACTGAATTCGAATGTAACACTTCTAACATATCTTGTTTACTTTAGCACTGTACCTTAATGAAATTGTCACTACACTATTTCTAAAAAATGACTTCTAACTAAATTCTCAGTTCTCTTACCCATTCTCTACTCAT